CTTTAGAGATTCATTCTAAAAAGCATCTCCATCAGAGACTAATTCTGACGAGCATTCCCTTCAGAGATTCATTCTCAAAAGCATTCCCTTCAGAGATTCATTCTGAAAAGCATTCCCTTCAAAGATTTATTCTGAAATCATCTCCATCAGAGACTAATTCATACGAGTTTTTCCATCAGAGACTAACTCTGACGAGCATCTCCATCAGAGACTAATTTTGACGAGCATTTCCATCAGAGACTAATTCTGACAAGCATTTTCTTCAAAGATTCATTCTGAAAAGAATTCCCTTCAGAGCTTCATTCTGAAAAGCATTTCCTTCAGAGGTTCATTCTGAAAAGCATTCCCCACAGACTGAAATCTGACGAGCATTTCCTTTAGAGCTTCTTTCTGAAAATCATTTCCTGCAGAGATTCATTCTGAAAAGCACTCCCCTCAGAGACTAAAATGTGATGAGCATTTCCTTCATAACTTCATTTTGAAAAGCATTTACTTCAGAGATTCATTCTAAAAAGCATCTCCCTCATAGACTTATTCTGACGAGCATTTCCTTATAGACCAATTCTGATGAGCATCTCCTTTAGAGATTCATTCTGAAAAGCATTTCCCTTAGATAATATCAGATAGATTCATTCTGAAAATCATTCTTCAGATAAAGTCAAGCGTAGACTCATTCTAATACTCCTATCAACAGTTACTTTGGATGGCATCTATAAGCCCATCTCCGACGACATCTATCACCTCTACGAATGGCATATTTAAGCCCATTCAAGTAATATAATCATTCAACAGTATTACTTCGTGCACATGTGAGTGCAAATTTCTGGGCACTTAGGTGTTCAATCCTCTTCCACCTTCAGATAACAAATGGCGGACATGCCAATCTAACTCTTCATATTTAAGAATATTGAACACGGGAAGCTGTTGTACCCCAAAATTTTCCCTCCTATTATTCAAGAAAAATTAATTCAAGATACCTCCTCATGCTCATGAAGGCCTCAATTGCTCAAGACTACTCAAAGATTGGTCAGACAAACCCTCCTCCTAGGCATTGACCTACAACTAGGGTTTTGTTTTTCTCAAAGGAAAATTGGACTTCTAATTCCTCAAGTAGATTTCATGGTTTCTCATATGTCTCAAGGTATTCTCATACCAAGTTTCAAGCCTTGCAGTACAAGTTTTCTCAGACAATTGCTCAGATGATTGAAAATTAACTATATTGGACAAAAAGTCAACTTTGACCAATTTACAGTCAAACTTCAAGATTTTTACTTTATATCAATATTTTGAAGTAACATTCATCATTTTATCAAGGGTTGATCATGATTCATCAAGAAAACTCAAGATTCATCAAAAGTCAAAAGTTATTAAATTGGGGTTTTCTTTAGGAGGAGTCAGCTGAACTTTGACCAAGCATAACTTTCACATACTTCATCTAAAATTTCTCAACCAAAGCTCATTTTAAATTAAATTCAATTCTCTACAACTTTTTCTCTCTAAGTTCAAGGCCAAAAATACTTCATTTGAGAGATATGGGCGAAAACATTACAGATCATTTTAAAAGTCAATAAAAAGACACTTTTTATCAAGGCACTTTACATCAATATAAAGGCTTAAAATGAAAAAATGACCAACATGAGGGTTGTAGGGGATATCTTGAGCTTTCTAAAAAGTCCAAGATCACCTTCATATGATAAAAATTGAGAGAGTTATGATTGGTGCAAGTAGGGAAATTTTGAGAAAATGCATGAAGTTCAAATTGAGAAAATTTGTATTTTTGGGCTAACGGGCCTATATTTTAAGGTCCAAACGTGTTCCTGACCTCATATTAGAACTCTAAATCCATTCACATATTTTTTATGATTTTTATTTCTTTTATTTGGATTTTATTCATTTAAATGCAAATTAAATCAAATAAAATATCAAATAAATGATATAAGGCATGAGGATCTATTTTTGAATCAAATCATAAGTCTAAAAAGCTGGTGACGACTTGCTAAAAATGTGATTGGTATGAGATTGGCCTAAAAAAGAAAGACTTCAAGCAAAACTTCAATCAAATATTTGATCATAAAATTCAAATCTTTTGTAATTTCATCAATATTTAATCATGAAATATTTGATCATGAAATACAAAAGAGTTGATTCACTTTTGTTGACCTAAATCTTTCACTATAAATAAATGACATCTTCAAACTAAGAGGGACACGAAAATTGGCCTCAAGTACACGCTCTCAAAAATCTCAAATATTGTCAAAACTAGGGAAAACTAAAAACCTTGTGTGCAGCCACTTTTAATCCATTCCAAGCATTCCATCGTGTTCTTGAAGTTCTCAGGAGTTCATCCCATCCATCCTTGAAGCCTGAAGCGCGCTAGATCATCACATCTCAACATCACTGGTTTGGTAGTTTTCGTGAATCTCAAACTTTTAATCTATGCATATTTAATTAATTTGATGCATGTATACATGTTCATGATCATGTTTAGAAATGTTCTGATCCATTATTTGCAAGCTTTGATGCAGGGATCATTGAAACAACCGGTTGAAAATCATTAAACAATGAAGTCACCATCGAACCTCTTTTATCCCACATGAAGGGAAAGGTAAATATCGAGAAAACATGAGAAGGGATAAGTCACGATCTTGCGACTGAGAGATAGGGTAGGGGAGTATGTTACGCGAGGGGAAGGTATTAGCACCCCACACGCCCGTAGTACTTTATGGTATCCACTCTTGTTTTCTATCTTATGGGTGTATTTAAGCCATGCTTACTATTTATTCCTGAGGAAGAATGCATGCAAAAGAAAGGAGAAAAGAATGTAGGGAAAATAAAGTTGTACTTGCTTGGGCCCTACCCCAATGCCTACGTATCCTTTTTGAAGAATCAGAGCTACCGTAGTTTGGCTCACATGCTTTTGTTTGTTTGTGTTTTTTATGAACAATGTTAATTACGCCTTCTGCCGCAGCTCGACCTTTGGAGACTCACGCGTTGGCACAAAAGTAAATTAATATTGTCCTTGCTTGAAAAGGGTTTTGAGTTACGCCCTCGAGGCAAGATGCCACATTTGATTAGTTTGTATCTTGTTACCTTGAAAAAGGGTTTAAGTATGATTAGCATGTTTTAGGATTTGTTAAAGAAAAGAGGTTTTAGTTTTAAATTCAAGGATGCAAAAAGAGGAAGAAAAGAGTCTAAAGGGAGACTAGACTATATCTAACCTAATGTTATCATACAATGGTGGCTCTATGATTTTGATTAACAAAAGGGAAATTTTTACCTAATGTTAGCATGCATAGTTTGCAATCTAAGGTCTAACTTGCGTCCAAAGGTAGCACGCACATCCTAAGGGAACATAGTATGTATAAGGATAAAACAAGCAAGCTCGAAAGAGCACACACATCAAAGAGTAATGAAAAGAAATGAAATAATTTAGTCAAGGGGAGCATATCACCTGAGACAAACAAGCGGGAGTGAGATGAAAAAACAAAATGTGATGTCCAAAGCCACTGAACACCTAACCATGATTTAGGAGATCGAGGTAAGCGACAGCAGACAATATGAATGACCACAAAGTATCAAAATCAGCCAATGCGAACTCCTGACCAAACATGGGGGTTCAACTGCGGAACCCTTCCCCACTTGACGAACTCGATACACAAGAGAAGGCACAACTCCGAAGCATCATGGTGCGTCACGAGCTAAGGATGACACTGACAAAATTGCGGGGGTCGATTGCGAACCCTCCCTACTCGCCTCCTTTTAAGGACTTATCATTTATACATACACGGGCATAAATATAAACCCACCAGCAGCATACCTACACAAAGGCAAGGTTTTAAATAAACCACACACGAGTAGCACACAAAATGCACACAATGCGGAATTTCCCTAAACGGGTCTTTAAATAAACTAGAGGGGTTCCTAACATGATCAGCAACAGAGACTCCCGTCATACATTTCTATCCTACTTCTCATGGAATCAAAAAGCGGTAAAGACCAACTTCTCATGATCTCTAGAAAAGCGATAAAGTGCGAAAATGAGGAATAAAATAAGGTCACGATGATACCGAGCATAGAAGGTTTGTTGCCTTTTCATAAACACGCAAGCAATAAGAAAACTCTACCAAAAGCTTCCTCGAATTTACTTGATCATAATTCTGCTCTTGGCTAGCTTTAGAGCTTCGTGAAATATTCAACTAAATATCTTTTATTTACCAATATCACAAAAATTAATCGCACCTACAATTGAAACAAGTATTGAAAATAAAACTTCAGGAGGTGCAAAGCTGGATCCAGGATATGATGCAACCAAAAATCATAATGCCACTAAGCCCATCGAAATGAACATAAAAGCTATCAAAAAAATCCATTGGGCCTAGGCAAACATTGTTTCGGTCCATCATCTCACTCAACTATGTCTTTCAACATTATCTCTTTCATTCATTCTTTCAGCATATATATTTTTTAATTAGTTCAACATTATTATTAGCATAATTATTTTATAATTAACAAAAAAGCAAAAAAAAATTATATGAAAAGGATGGATACAGTGCGTTTCAAGGAGACAGCTAGGGTTCAAGATTGGCAAAATTTCCTCTCTTCTTCCGCAATCTGCGGTGCGCCTCACTTCTTCTTCTCCGATCAAATCAAACAGAATGCTGCCGCTCCTCGTCTCGGATTACATCCCTAACTCGCACTCTCCTCACCTAAGTTTCGATCTCCTTTCCGTCTCACTCTCTCCGATTCTGATTTATCTTCAATGTTAATAACTCACCTCAGTTTTGCGGATTTTCTCCTTCTAAGCATCGTAACCATCCCTTTCCTCTTCGTCTTCGTACGTTTGTTCACAACCTTATCTCTGATGTCGAGGCTCCTTCGAGTTTTTTTCCGTTAAACCTCATCTCTGACCCTAAATCCTCCACCAATTTCACATATAAAAACTCTAATAGCAAATATCTAAGTGAAGAAAACCTACTTACGGTGGCGATTCCGACGAGGTGATGACGAACTCCAACGAATGTTCTGAGGTAAATTCTCAAATTTCACCATCGTTTGATTCTTGCTCCACTTCTTCTCTTCTATTTTTTAACCTTTTATTGACTTCTGTTTTGTATTGTTGTTGTGAAATGCTCGAGGATGAAGATGTGTAGCAGATTGATGCACATAAGTAGAGAATCGATTTTGATGTCGAAAAGAAGAGTGTGGGATCCGCCGGTGATTCAGAGAGCCGTGATGATGATGATGATGATGCAATTCGCAGAGGTGTTAAAGATGCGTCGCCGCCTTGTGTTGCAGAGAAAGATTGATGTTGTGATGATTGAAGAATATTGGAGATCTGAGGTTTTTTTTAGAAAGGTGAAGATTGAAGATCAATTGTGAAGATAATGAGGTGCATAGGTATTTTTTCAGAGAGTAATTTAGTGGTTAAAGAAAGGTTATAGAGGATGAAGGTTGATTGTTGAAAATGAGATTGGAGATGAAGAATGGAGGGACTGATCTGGTGAGTTTCTGTGTTCTCTTTTTCTGTTGAATTTTCTGTTATGAATTCTCCCCCCTCTATTATGTAAATGAATTTTGTTATATATCTCCTAAAGTTTGTTACAGGTTATCGGATCTCAGCCATAGATATCAAAATCCTGTTAGGATAATTGATGGAGGAGATTGAAACCGGCGAGTTTGTAATTCAGTTATGAAATCAGTTGGACAGTTGATGAATTCGGTTAGGAGAGTGAGAGTTATGGAATTTCTGTTATTTTGCTTTTTCTGTTAAACAATTAGAAGGTTGTGGACAGGTTTTGGGTTCTGTTATGAATAATGGGAGACCTTAGCTATTTTTTGTTTTTGACAATTAGGACTGTTATGCAGCTAGAAAGTTAATTGGATGTTATTTTTTGGATTTTCCTATCTAATGTGGGGTTCTTGTATGAAGGGTTGATTATAAATTGAGTTATGTGTAGGCTTACAACACTCTCTACAAGCTTGGGACGGTTTCGATACAACTACGGGTTTGGCATGAAGATGACAATATGTTTGGTTGAATATGGATGAAACTGGATGGAAATATGCAAATGGAGATGAAGCGTGGAACTTGAAGATTGGAGCAGAAGATAAACTTTAGAATCATAGTTAACTTATAAACTTATGATGTATTCTTCTAAACTATCATAGCCTTTAGGACTTTGTAATAGAAGTAATCTTTGTAAGCCTCAATTTTTCCTTCAATTTGGAAATGATGACTTTGAATGGTTTTGGTCTTCGTATGAAAAACCTTGGACTCAAATAGAAACTTGAAGTAATCTAAATGATTCCACATAATTTCGTACTTTTCCTTGAATTGCAACCGGAATAAGTCTCATGAACAAAGTTGAATGATGAAGAATATTTGAACAACTAGAAATCTTAATATGGACCCTTTTAGCAATGATGATGTATGCCTTGAGTGATTCTTGTAATTTTGAAACAAGTCTTCCAATCTTTAGAATATACATCCATTTATCGAACTTGAATCAAAATAAATACTTGAAAGGACTTTGAATGATCATGCTTTGCAAATTTAAATTGGTGGCTTATTTTTTATTTCAAGATAGGCCATGAATGAATTGCTTGAACTTTAAGAAACTTTGATTATCTTGACAAATCTTTAATTCCAGATCCTGGTGACTAATCCGGATTACCTTGAGCCCTCATAAGTTCAAAATTCCAAATTATCTTGTAATTTCAATGAACCTCTAATTTTAACTCTCCAAATTTGAGTCAAACTCAACTTGCATGACAAGCAACTGATATCTGAAAGAGCGATGATGTTTTGAATCCATAACCATATCTTGTAACCTCAACCAATATATCACCAAAGCATCCTTAAGCTCATATACTCTCACCACGAATCCAAACCTTGCAATGATGAAGATAAACACAACAACCTTAATTCAAAGCCTTCTCATTTGATTCCGAGTCATTGAGGAGATCGTAAAAACTTGATACTTTTGAAGGAATCTTAAAGATGGAAGTCTGGTAATATTCCGATGCAAGAAATTATCAATGAATCGTGCACATAAAACCTTAGCTCCATAAACCAAATATTGTTAACTAAATAACGTGAATCAAACTTGAATGAAAGTGAGACTCTCAAAGCCAAAGATAATCCCTACACCTCAAGATCCTCGATCCCATGCCCATTTGATTGATTAATGATGCATGATGTTGCTAAATGACCTAATGGAAGTTATGTACATTAGAAAAATGTGAGATGCGTAAGCCAGATAGAAGTAAAAGGGTAGGACAAATTTGGGGTATTACAATCATGAGATACCATTGTTAGGGCAGCTTAGAACTTCTTCTTCGAAACTCATGATACAAGTGTTCCCAGGCCAAACCAACACCACCATTGGATTTGCAAGGGTTGAATTAGGGGGATAGGGTCCTTTTTATGATCTAACACATATTATTTTACAGGTTTGAAAATCCTCCCATTGGAGAAGATGATCGGAGCTTGGGCTCCGGCGCTTCCCTGGTTCACTTGCTTTATCATATATTTGTTTGTTTATGTTTTAATAACTATAAAGAAGTGCAACGCAGTTGGTTAAGACGACGACATGTAACATGAAGGGCGTGGGTTCGACCCTTCGTCTTACAATTATTTTTTGTTATTTTTAAAACTAACGCACATTTTTATATTTATTAATTATGATACGGTGGCAGAACCGACTGTTTAATACTGGTTTTGCATTTTTTGTTTGAAAATATGCGGTAAGCAAGAGTCGCCATCGTCTTTTCTTTTATCCAACAAAGTAAAGGGTGAAAAGAACAGAAAAGGACCTTTTCAAGATGTTTTCTGAGTAAGGGGGTAGATTATGGAAAGGGCAGGTGTTAGCACCCTTTCCATCCGTGGTTTTCAACAGGCTCTTAGAGGTTTGCTCATTTTTCAAGATGCTTTTGTGCTTTGTGTTTGAAAATGTTTTGAAACCGCCTTGGTACGACAAACTTTGTAATGTTTCTCGGAATAGTAGAGAACGTATACAAAGTGTTTTGAAATGTCTTTCGAAAAGTAGTTTTTGTGTGTAAGTGCAAAAAAGTTTGAGCAAACTTCTAACAGCTATCTACTTTTGTACTCGAAAAGGTTGTTCTTTTCCTCTTTTCCTTTAGACAATGCTATCCTACTACTAATGAGTAGGTAGCCTTATTGTTGGATGTTGAGGGACAATCGAAGGGAAATTACAGTTACGAAGGCAATTTATGGAGATGCTTTAGCAATTCTATTTTAGGGACTAGATCATTTACCAAGAAGGCAACTGTAGGGTCATCGAGGGACTATGATCTTTTTATTTTACGTGTCTTTCCTAAAGCATTCCTGCCCCATAACTATTTTATTAAAGGAAGCCAAAGTGGACGTATCTTAGAGGTGTATATGTGCGAGTGTGTTCAATTCAGTTATTTTTTGTCTTTTTTGTTAAGTTTGCTTAGCGTTTGATTATTAGTCTTATCATACAAGCCTAATTACTAACAGTTAATATGAAAAAGCAGTAAAAAATGTAGAAAATAGAGGTCCTACACTATTACAATGCTTCGGGGAAGGGATTTACGTTATACAAGGATAATGGGGGATAAAACATTAAATATCCTAATTTTATCTATTACATCTAGTAAACAGATACAATAATAGTAAAAATACGAAATTAAATAAATGCGCGCAAAGTAAAATAAAATCTTTTTATTGTTTTTGGTATGAAAGAAAATAAGGCCTAAGTCTATTTAATTTTAATTTTAAGAAAAAAAGATGTAAAAATAATTTATTTATTTATTTACAAAATTAATTTAGTTGGAAAAACAACAAGCCTAATTTTTTTGTGATTTTGATTTTAATTAAAAAAAAAAAGAAGTCAATGAAAGAAAAAATAAAATGCAAGGGACACCTTTCGATCCAGAGAGAAAAGGGGAGCTTCGATCCCAGGAGAGTTATGGTCTTTTCGATTTAGGAAAGAGGCCTTATTTCGATTGGGCTAGGGAGTGGGTGTGAATAGCTTTCGATCCAGGGAAGGGGATTGCCCTTCGATCCTTGGGAAACGGAATGCCCTTCGATCCAGGAAGGAGATGCCTTCTTTGATCCAGGAGGACAACGAGAAACTTCGATCCAGAGAAGGAATCTCCTTCGATCTGAGATGATATACCTACAAAAGTACGTTAGCAAAATAAAACGCAGGACCTGGGTATCGAAACCCAGATCCTTCGGTCCTGCGCGCGCTGGGTCTTTTCAGGCTATGTCTGCAGCAAGTGTTAGCAAAATGAAGACCATGACCTGGATGTCAAACCCAAGCCCTTTGGTTTTGTCTAAGATGACAAGTCGAATGGAACAACAAATATGGATGTGTTATTGTTGTACCCCAAAATTTGCCCTCCCATATTTCTCAAAACATTTCAAGAAAAATTCACAAGTCCAACCCGGCGCGTCATATTCAGGTATTCTTTCGCCAAGATATCTCTGATAACGTATTCTCAAATTCAGGTTCGGCTCAAGAGTCAATTCTTTAAAGAAGGTATCCGAATGTGTGAGTTTTCTTGAAGAAATATAGTGAAAAAGTGTGCTGAAAGTGCAGTTTTTACGCGCTAAATAATTCATAACTTGAAGATCGTGGCTCGTTTTGAACCCGTTCCGTGGGCCAAAATTCCGTCTTGACATTATCTACGTTTTCATCTCTCACGGCTGGAAGCCAATTTCGATCATAAGGTCTTCAAAAATGTGGATTTATCAAGTATTTTCATACAGAAAATTTGTGACAGAAGTTTATTTGCGTCATGTTCAGAAAATCATAACTTGGTCGATTTTCATCGTATCGAGCTGGTTCCGGTGCCAAAATTTCACAAATTGAGTTGGCTACATTTTCACAGAAGGTATTGAGTTCAAACGGTATTCAAAAGGCCTTTGTTTTTTGCTCAGAGTGCGTGACACGCTGAAAATCCTGAATGCTGAATATTATTTCATCTGGGCCGAAACTTCGAAAATTCATAACTCGGTCAATTTTTATCGGATTGGACTCATATTTTTACACAAGGTTACTGAGTCATAGATCTACAACTTTGCTTCAAAAGTTGAGACCAAATTATGCACCGATCAATACCAGTTTTTTATTGAAGAACGTGTCAGAGTCGACACTGAAGACCAAAATAAGTTTGTCTGAGCTGAAACTTCAAAAATTCATAACTAATTCACCGTTTATCCGATTGAGTCAATTTTCGGACAGGAGTTAGTTCTCGATGTCGGCTACATTTTGTTTTCACATTTCAACTTCAAAAAATGTACTTAATTCCCTGCGATTTAGCCTGGAAAGTGACAAATTCAAGTGAATATTGGAGGCCCAATTGCACATTCAAAGCCCATTTGCTTT